TACATCCATTTTGGACTTATAAATAAATGATATGTACCCATTGATTCTTGAAGAAAATATCTTATAAATATAAGCTTGTTTTACCCCAATGTTTGTAAACAAACACTATAGCCTCAAAACATTTTGATGGCATGGATGGTCAGTCCTTGCATCCAAAGCTCTGTCTATGAATTTGAGAGTGGCTACATTTCTACACCCCCATCCCGCAGCTTTTTACTGAAACGGGCGGGGTGCGCTCTGTTATTGTTTCTACTGCTGATAAGCTCTTTAACGTTACCTGCTAGACCAAATTCTTCCTCCTCTCTCTCCCTCTCTCTCTTTCTCTCTCCCTGCAGCGTGTTTTCACCCTCACAGACAGAGCTTGGTTGGGGTCCTGTCTCCAGTACAAATGGCAGAAGACACTGGGGAATTACATTGCTGTCGCAGGGTGAGTTGTGGCTTTGCTGGTTGGTGGTGTTTGTAAAGTTGCAGGTATTGCACAGACATGTTATTATGGTGTAATGTAGCTCTGGTCCAGGGCGTTAGTGCAGGCTTGCAAACAATCCAATCAAATTCCAGTAGATTTTTCATTCACAGAATACACGTGATGTACACAGTACAATGACATACTTCCTTCCTTGCAGGTGAGTGTAATGAAACAGGCAGGCAGGGAGAGTGACCTCAACTCTCAGCCTTCTGGCCCATAGCCCCCAAGTGGATATCCAGTCTTATAAAGACTAGGGGTGCTACATAAGCATTTCATTTCATTGCACCCTGGACCAGAGCTAGGTGTTATATCTATTGACATAATACCAGCCTGTATTCACCTGGACCAGAGCTAGGTGTAATGATCACCTGTTCTATATTATATTGCTATAATACCAGCCTGTGTTAATCACTTTGGAGTCTGGTACCCATCACTGGGACACCAGTACCCACCTTCTACTGTAGGCTAAATATCCATATTGGACAAGACAGTTATTCTATTCTATTCGGCTCTGTTCTGTTCTGTTCGGCTCTGTTCTGTTCTATTCTGCTTTTATCTTTTTCTGTTTTTCTTTTTCTTTTTTTTTTGGGCTCTTTCTTTTTCTATTCTGTTTTGTTTTTTGGGGTTTCTTTTCCCTTTTTTCTTTCTGCTCTTTTCCTATTCGTCTGTTCTATTCTGCTATGTTCTAATCTGCCTGTTTTTTCTAATCTCTTTTGTACTTTTTCCAATCGTACTTTACAGTTGTGTTCTAATTTTTTGTACTTTTTCCTCTTTTCTTTTTGTTTTCTAATTCTATACTTTTTACTCTTTTTTTTGGGTATTCTAATTTTTTATAATTTTTTTTTAAACTCTGTTCTTTTTGTATTCAAATTCTATCCTTTTTCTTTTCTTTTGAAATTCCCAAATTTCCCTATACTTTTTTTCCTCTTTTTTCCTTTGAAATTCAATTCTATCTTTTTAAACTCTTTTCTTTGTATTCTAATTTTACTATTTTATCTCCCGTTCTGTTGTTTTCCCAAATTCTGGGACTATTTTTACTCTTTTTCGGGTGTATTCAAATTTCTATTTTTTATTTACTCTTTTCTGTTGTTTCAAATTTCTAAAAACTTTTTTAACCCCTGTTCTGTTAAAAATTCTAATTCATACTATTTTACCTGTTCTTTGTTTCAAATTCTAAAACTTTTTTTACCTGTTCTGTTGTGTTCTAATTCTAAAACTTTTTTACTCTGTTTCTGTTTTTTTTAATTCTAAAACTTTTTTCCCCCTTTTCTGTTGTTTTCAAATTTCTATACAATTTTACTCTTTCTTTTGTTTCAAATTTCTGTACTTTTTAAACTCTTTTCTTTGAAATTTCAAATTTCCCTGACTTTTTTAAACTCTTTTCGGGTTGTTTCTAATTCATCCCATTTTTCCCTTTGGGTTCGTTGTTTTTCTAATTTCTATATTTTTCTCTTGTTCTTTTTTGTATTTTTCTATACATTTTTACTCTGTTCTGTTGTATTCAATTTCCCTTCCCTATTTTAAACCTTTTCTTTTTGTATTCAAATTCAATACTATTTTACTCTTTTCTGTGTTTTCCAAATTCAAAACTATTTACTCTGCTTGTTTACAATTTTTATACTTTTTTAAACTCTGTTCTGTTGTTTCTAATTCTAACTATTTTATTTCCTGTTCTGTTTTTTCTAATTATTACTATTTTTTACTCTGTTCTGTTGTTTTCCCAATTCTATCCTTTTTACTCTGTTTTTTTGTATTCTAATTCTAAAATAATTTTATCTTTTCTGTTGTTTTCAAATTTCAAATACTTTTTTAAACTCTTTTTCTTTTTTGTTTTCAAATTCTAAAAACTTTTTTTACTCTGTTCTTTTTTGTTTCAAATTCTATACTATTTTACCTGTTCTGTTTTTTTTTCAAATTCTTAATTTTTACTCTGTCTTTTTATTCTTTTTCAAATACTTTTTTACTCTGTTCTTTTGTATTCTTTTTCCCTAAAAACTATTTTACCCTGTTCTTTTTGTATTCAAATTTTTAATACTTTTTTCCCTTTTCTTTTTGTTTTTCTAATTTTTAACTATTTTACTCTGTTCGGGTTTTGTTTTCAAATTTCATACTATTTTCTCTTTCTTTTGGAAACCCTTTCTAAAAACTATTTTCTCTGTTTCTTGTTTTCAAAATTCCCTAAAACCTATTTTACTCTTTTTCTTTTTTCTAATTCTATCTATTTTACCCCTTTTCGGGTTGTGTTCAAATTCCTTTACTTTTTACTCTTTTTCTGTTGTATTCAAAATTCTATCTTTTTAAACTCTGTTCGGTTGTAAAATTCTATTTCTTACTTTTTAAAACCCTTTTTTTCTTTTTTGTTTCTAATTCTATACTTTTTACTCGTTCTTTTTGTTTTCTAATTCTTACTTTTTTTTCTCGGGCTGTTGAAATTCTAATTCATACTTTTTAAACCCCCCTTTTTCGGGTTTGTATTCAAATTTCTAAAACTTTTTTACTCTTTTTTCTTTGTTTTCTAATTCTATACTTTTTTTAACTCTTTTTCTGTTTTATTCTTTTCCGGGAAAACTATTTTCTCTTTTTGTTTGTATTTAATTCTGTACTATTTACTTTTGTTCTGTTTTTTCCCTAAAAACTATTTTACTCTTTTTCTGTTGTATTCAAATTTCCCTTTTCCCTTTTCCCTCTGTTCGTTGTTTTTCTAATTTTTAAAATTTTTTTAACTCTTTTTCTGTTGTTTTCAAATTTTCTAAAAACTATTTTACTCTGTTTTTTTTTTTGGTATTCTAATTCAAATACTTTTTTTACTCTTTTTCTGTTGTTTCAAAATTCATACTATTTAACTTCTTTCGGGTTTTTTTAAATTTTTAAACTTTTTGATTTTATTTCTTTTTCGTTTAATCAAAAGACCTGACGCTCAGGGGAAGATTTTGACAGCCCCTGGACAGGGGAAAGAATGAACTAAATCTCCAGGGGGGATTTTAACACACAGCACACATTTTGACTTTCTGAGACAATACAAACCCAAAATCTGCCCTGTGAAAAAACCCAAAACCACATCTAAACTGTTTGAAAATACTAACACTTTCTGACCTGCTAAAGAAAACTAACACATCTGCCTTTTTAGCCCATACAAAACCCACTGACCCGCTGGACAAACAACCCATCGACCTGCTAAACCCAATCTAACAAAAAATCTGACCTGCGGAACAATACTAAAACATTGCCTGCTAAACATAAAAACACATCGACCCTGAAAAATACTCCCCCATCTGACCTGCTAACAATACTAACACATTTTCCCCCCTCCCGGGAAAACATACTAACACATCTGACCTGCGGAGACAATACTAAACATCTGACCTGCTGAGAAAATACAAAACAATCGGGAACCTGCTGAGCCCAATACTAACACATCTGACCTCCGAGACAAACTAAAACACCCTGACCTCTGGGGACAATACAAACACATCTGCCCTGCTAAACAAACAAAACCCTCTAAACCTGCTGAGACAATACTAAACTCTGCCCCCTTTTTTAAAAATACTAAAAACACTGCCCTGCTGAGAAAATACAAAAAACATCTGCCTGTGAGACAATAAAACACTCTGCCCCTGCTGAGACAATAAAAAACATCGACCTGCTGGAAAAATACTAAAACATCTGCCCCTTCGAAAAATACTAAAACACTGCCCCTGCTGAGCGCCCCCAACACATCTAAACCTTTGAAAAAAATCAAACCCATCTGACCTGCTAGAAAATACTAAAACATCCCCCCCTGCTAAAACAATACAACACATATACCTGCGGAACATACAAACCTCTGACCCGCTGGAAAATATTTAACCCTCCTGCCTGCGGGAACAACTAACACATCAACCTGCTGATACAATACAAAAATTACCCATTTTTTCTGCCCTCCTAACTCCCCTTGGGGCCCCCCCCTCCCTCCTTTTCCTTTCCCCCCCCCATCTTTCTCCCACCCCCCCCCCCTTTCCCCCCCTCGCGGCGTTGTGTGGGGGAGGGACTGGGAAAAGGACGGAGACATTTGGGCTGATCTCTGCCCCGTCCACTCCATTCCCCTCTGGGAAACGCTAACGTAAAAAGTTTCTCCAGATAGAAGGGGAAATAAAGGTTTGGCTGGAACAACACCCCCCCAAAAAATAAAGTTTATTTCTACCGCCCCTTTTTCTTCACGGGAAAGAAGAAAAAAAAAAAATTGACTACACAAAAAAACTCAGAAAATAAAAAAACAAAGAATAACATTAAAAAACGGAAAGCAAAAAAGCCCCCCCTAAAAAAAAGCAGAGCAAAAAGGGTTTTTTTTTTAAAGATTTTTTAAATATGTCCACATTTTTAAAATCCCCCCTCACCACACCTTACCCACGCGACACAATCCATCTCACCCCCCTTACCCGGGCTCCCCCTCCCCCTGACCCCCCCCACACACAAAAACACACAAACGGTTTCCAGGTAATAACCCTTCCCCCCCTTTGTTCCTTCCTGCCCTGTTTTTTTTTCCCCATAAGACCAGATGTCATTCATTCTGGGGTTCGAAGGGGGGCCCCCCCTTTTGGGGCTGCCCGGGCAAAAAAAGGAAAACCCTGCTGATCTACCCCAAACAACGTCACCCAAGATCCCCCCGGGGGTAACAAAAACCTGCCTAGATCCCGTCCTGGGTAAAAACCACGCTGCTCTAGACCCCGGTCCGGGGAAAAACACGCTGTTCCTAGACCCCCTGTCCTGGGAAACAACACCTGCTCAAAAGTTTCCCTGTCCTGGGTAACCACACCTGCTCAAAGTCCCGGGCCTGGGTAAACACCTGCCTAGTTCCCGTCCTGGATAAAAACACGCTGCTCTAAACCCTTTCCTGGGAAAAAAAACATGCTCTGACTGGGCCGGGGGAACCACGCTCCCTTCTGACCCTCTTTTCCGGGTAAAAACACGCTGCTCAGATCCCTGTCCTGGGTAACAACCTTTTGAATCCCTGTCCTGGGAAACCAACACCCCTTGCTCTAGATCCCTTCCGGGGTTTAAAACACGCTGCTCTAGATCTCTGCCCGGGGAAACAAAAACGCGGGCTCTAATCCCGGGCCCCTTGGGTAACAACCGCTGCTCTAGATCTCTGTCCGGGGGAAAAACCCACGCTGCTCTAACCCCTTGTCCGGGGTAAAAACCCAGCGGCCCCAAATCCCTGCCCCTGGGGAACAAAAAACCGCTCCCTCAAAATCACGTCCTGGGTAAAAACACCTCCCTCAGATCCCTGCCTGGATAAACAAAAACCCTGCTCCTAGACCTGTCCTGGGTAACAACAACTGCTCTAGATCTCGGCCCTGGGTAACCCGCGGCTCTAATCTCTGTCCTGGGTAAAAACCCCGGGCTGCTCTAGACCCCTTTCCCTGGGTAAAAACCAGGGCTGCTCAAATCCCTGCCTGGGTAAAAACCACCTGTCTGATCCCGTCCGGGGAAAACACGCTGCTCTAGATCTCTGTCCTGGGTAAAACAAAACGCTGCTCAATCCCGTCCTGGGAAACCAACACCTGCTCTAATCCCCTGCCCTGGGTAAAAACCGCTGCTCTAGATCCCTGTCCTGGGTAAAAACCCCGCCCCTAACCCCCCTGCCCCCGGGGGAAAACCACGCTCCCTCTAGATTCATTTGTCCTGGGAAACAACACGCTGCCTAGATCCCTTTTCCGGGGTAACAACCTCGTCTAGATCCCTTTTCCTGGGAAACACACCTGCTCTGATCCCGCCCTTTGGGTAACAACCCTGCCCCAAATCCCTGCCCCCCTTTGGGGTAAAAACCACGTTTTTTGCCCTAGACCCTCTGCCCCTTCTTACACACGCTCCCTTGAACCCCTGCCCCTTTGGGTAACAAAAACCTGCTCTAATCCCTGTCCTGGGTAACAAAAACGCTGCTCTAGACCCCTGCCCTTTGGGTAAAAACCACGCTGCTCTAGCCCCTGTCCGGGGAACAAAAACGCTGCTCTGATCCCTGTCCGGGAAAAACACGCGGTTTTCTAGACCCTTCCGGGGTACAACCGCTGCTCTAGATCCCTGTGGGGGTTTAACAAACCGCTCTAGACCCTGTCCTGGTAACAAAAAGGCTGCTCTAGACCCCTGCCCTGGGTAAAAAACCCCAAGGCTGTTTCTGATCCCTGCCTGGGTAACAAAAACCTCCCTCTAGATCCCTGCCCGGGAAACCCAACACCTGCTCAAATTTTCCCCTGCCCTGGGTAACGACCGCTGCTCTAATCCCTGTCCGGGGTCGCACCTCCCTCAGTTTTCCCTGCCCTTTGGAAACGACCCCGCGCTTCTTGCCCCGCCCCGGGGTAACGACCGTTTCTCTAGATCCCTGTCCGGGGGTAACGACACGCTGCTCTAAAATCCCTGCCCGGGGTTAACAACCCCTTTTGCTCTAGATCCCTGTCCTGGGTAAAAACACCTGCCTAGATCCCTTTCCTGGGAAACCAACCCCCTGCTCTAGATCTCTTTTCCGGGGGTAACAACCCCTTTCTCTAGATCCCTGTCCGGGAAACAACCCGTTTGCTCTAGTTTCCCGGGTCCGGGTACACACGTTTCCTGATCCCTGCCCCTGGGAAACCCAAAAAAACGCTGTCAAAAGACCCCCTTTCCTGGGTAAAAACACCTGCTCTAGTTTTTCCCTGCCCTGGGTAACCCGTTTGTTTCTAGTTTCTCTTCCTGGGTAACAACAGCTGTTCTAGACCCGGTCCGGGGTAAAAAACACCTGCTCTAGATCCCTGTCCGGGGAAAAACCACGCTGCTCAAATTTTCCCTTGTCCTGGATAACAACACGCTCCCTCAAAGTTTCCCTGCCCGGGGAAACCACACCCGGGCTCTGTCCCTGTCCGGGTTTAAACCCCAACGTTTCTTCTAGATCCCTGCCCCGGGGGTAAAACACGCTGTTTCTAGATCCCTGTCCGGGGACAAAAACCGCGGGCTCTAGTCCCTGTCCGGGGTAACAACACGCTGCTCAAATCCCTGCCCCTTGGGTAACAAAAACCTGCTCTAGACCCCCTGTCCGGGGTAAAAACACCCCTCTTTTAGTCCCTGCCCCGGGGAAAACAAAACCTGCTCTAGATCCCCTGTCCGGGGAAACCCAAAAACCCTGCTCTAGACCCCGTCCGGGAAACCACGCTGCTTTTAGATCCCACCCCGGGGTAAAAACACCTGCTCTAGATCCCTGCCCCGGGGTTCCAACCCTGCTCTAGACCCCGGGTCCGGGGTACAACACATTTCTCATTTCCCCAACTCCATCTTACGATCTTAAATTTTGGGGTTTAAAATTTTTACTACTCCCCTCTTTTTTCCCTCCCCTCTGCCCTCACACCCCCAACACCACCCACACCCACACCAGGAAACCCCACTAAGCGTATCCCTGTGGCTGCTGAGTTCTCAGAACCGGGTTGGACTGGGCAGCGAGGCTCCCGGAAACCATTACCCAAACCGGGAAAGGAAAAACCCACCCCACAGGTACACGCCTCACACACAAAAAAAAAAAAACCCACACACCACACCACACCCCCCACCACACCCACACACACAAAAACCCCCACACACGCCACCCAAACGGGTTTAAGGGGTTTTTTTCACTCAACTTCTTTTCCACCCTTCTCTCTTCTCCCCCATCCTCTCCTCTCCCCCCACCTTTCTCCACCCCTTCCCCCCTCTTTCCCTCCCCTTCCTTCCCCCTCTCTCCCCTCCCTCCCCCCCCCCCCCTCCCTCCCCCCTCTCCCTCCCCCCCCCAAAACTTCTTTCGTTCTGACCCCCCTGATATCCTTTTCTCTGTGATAAGACAGACGGATTTTCCTTCTCCGGGAAAGAGGAAACAGTGAAAATGACTTTTAAACTGACCTTTTACAAACGCCCAAAAAAATTTTTTCCCCCCTTTAGGGGGAAACATGGAGGGGTTTCAAAATGGACAAACCCCCTGCACCAAAAATGTTAACGTTTTAATTTATATTACCCTTAAAACTACTATTTACTACTTTTTAAAATGTTGTCTGTAAATTGGCCCTCAAAAATCCCCCATTTTAAATAACATTCATTTCAACGTCCCGTGTCCAGAAAGACCCTATAGGGGATGAAATAAAATAAACCAAAATCGTTTAAATTTGCCCATGTTTTGGGGGGCTTTACTTTTCTTTTTAAACTTTTTGGGTTCTTTACGACGCCCCCTTTCCAGAGCGCTTCCCAGGAGCATTAGGGTTAAGTGCCTTGCTAAAGGGCACTTTTACTCATTTGCAACGCTCTAGTCCCCGAGCGACTCCAAATTGTGCTTTCCACCCTATACCCCCAGGGGGAAAAAACCACTTTAAAAAAATTTTTTTTTTGGGGGGGGGGGGGGGTAGAAGGATTACTTTTTTCCTATCCCGGTTTCCTTAAGAGGTGGGGTTTTTAAAAAGCTTTTGGGGGGTGTTGACCTTTTGGGTTTATCCTCCCAGCTCTAGGGTAACATATGTTCATGGTTTGGGGGTCAGGGGAAAGCAGGGGCAAAGAAGCCCATTTGAAGAGCTGATTCTGTCCCTTTTCTTTCTGTCTTTCTCTTCCCTTTTTCATTTTGGGCTTCTCATTCTGTCCTGCTCATTCCATTTTCTCATTCTGGGCTTCTCATTCTGTCTTCCCCTTCCCGGGTTTTTCCATTCTGTCTTCTCATTCTGTTTTTCCCCATTCCATGTTCTCATTCCCGGGCCCTTCCCCATTCCATTTTTCTCTTCTGTTTTTCCCCTTCCTGGGTTTTCATTCTGTCTTTTTTCCCTTTTCCCTTCGATGTTCTCATTCCATGTTCTCATTTTTGTCTTCTCATTCCATGTTCTCATTCTGTCTTCTCATTCCCTGGTTTTGCATTCTGTCTTCCATTCCATGTTCCATTTTGTCCCTTTTCCCTTATGTTCCCTTTTCATTTGTCTTTCCCCCTTTTTTTTTTCCCATTCCGTTTCTTTATTTCCTGTTCTCATTCCCCTGGTTTTTCCTTCCGGTTCTCATTTTGTCCTTTTTCATTCTTTGGGCTTTTTTCATTTTTGTTTTACCCCATTCCGTCTTCCCCATTCTGTCTTCTCATTTTGTCCTTTTTTTTTTCTGTCCCCTCATTGGGGGTTCTGTGTTTTGCCCGGTTTTTTCCGGTCCCAGGTTTTCTGTGCTAAAGACGAGTGATGGGGTGCAGAGAAGGAAAAGGAGGGGAAAATGGAGGACAGCTGGGGGTGAGAGCAGGGTGGCATAAAATTTGGGGGGGGTGGAGAGGAGAGAAAAAAAGGGCATCTAAATTCCCTATATATATAGGGAAAAAGGGGGAGGGAAGAGGGAGGGGGAGGGGAGGGGAAGAGAAGAGCCAGAGAAAGAGAGAGAAGACCACACAAAATTATTAACCCTTTGACTAGGGGGTCTGCCTAGATCCTTTCCTAAAGTGCCTTTTCGGAAAATATTCAGACCCCTTTACTTTTTCCCCCCCGTTTTCACCCTTATTCTAAAATTGGGTTTAAATTTTTAATTTAACCCTTGTTTTTTACCCTTTGGGGTATGAGCCTCGAATTCTCCTGTTTCCATTTTATCAACCTTTTTATGTTTGTACAACTTTTATTTTGGGTCCACCTTGGTTTAAAATTTAATTTATTGGGCATGATTTTTTTAAAGGCCAACATCTGTCTAAAAGGGCCCACAGTTTACAAAGGGGATATCAAGGGAAAAAAACCCAAACCCTGAGGGCGAAGATTTCCCCTAGAGCTCCGGAAAAAGGGTTGTGTCGAGGGACGATCTGGGGGGGGTCCAAACATTTTTTGCAGCATTTAAGGGCCCCAAAACCCCCTTTGGCCCCTCCACTTCTTAAAAAAGGGGAAAAATTTGGAAAACCCCCAAGACCCCTTCCTGAGCTGGCCCCCCGGCCCCAAAATGAGCCAAACGGTGGAGAAGGGGGCCCTTTGGGCAAGGAGTTGACCAAAAACCCCCAGGGGCCCCTTACGAGCTCCAAAGTTCCCCTTGGGTGGGGAACCTTCCAGAAGACAAAATCTCTGCAGCACTCCACCAATCAGGGCTTTTAAAGGTAGAGTGGTCAGACAGAAACCAAATCCTCATTTTAAAAGGGACATGACCCCCGCTTGTGTTTTTCCCAAAAAAGGGAAACCCAAAGGGGGGTCCCCCAGACCATGAAAACAAGATTCTCTGGGTCTGGGTTAAACCAAGAAATTTAACTCTTTTGGCCCGAAGGGCCCAACCCTCACGTCTGGGAGGGGAATCCTTGGGACCCAACCCAAAGGGGGGGGGGGAGGGGGTGGAAACATCATTCTTTGGGGGTGTTTTTCAGTTTTTAGGGACTGGGGCTGGTCAGGGTCGAGGGGAAAAATGAAAGGAGCAAAATACAAAAGAGTCCCCTTTATGAAAACCCCCCTCCAAGCGCTCAGGGCCTCGACTGGGGCGAAGGGTTCCTTCCCAAAAAGACAACCCACCCTGAACCACAGCCCAATTGGGGTTTTGGGACGAGTCTCTTTTTTGTCCTTTAGTGGGCCCCCCAGAGCCCCCCCCTGAAATTATCAAAAAAACCTTTTTTTCTTTGTCGTTATGGGGGTTTTTGTGTAGATTTATGAGGGAAAAAAAAAATTTAAAACAAAATTTAAATAAAGCTGTTTTAAAAAGGGGAAAACAAAGAAAAATTGGGGTTTTTGGAAAAAGTCAAGAAAGGGTCTGAATACCCCTTTTCCGGGGAAAAAGGGGGCCCAATAACCCAAAAAAAAATTAAAAACAACCCAGAGGGAGGACAAAACCAAAGCAACAGGAACACTCACTCCCCCACACACACACACCACACACACACCACACACCACACACCACACACCACAACACACACCCCCGCCATCCACAGGTATGGGTTTTTCACTCAAACTTCTTTTCCACCTTCTTCATTCTCCCCCCTCTCTCCTCTCCCCATCCTTCCCCAAAATCCTTCCCCCTCTTTCCCTCCTCTATTCCTTCCCCCTCTCTCTCCCTCCCTCCCTCCCCCTCCCCCTCCTCTCTCCCTCCCTCCCAGACGTCGGTTGCGTTCTGACCCAGCTGATATCCAGTTCTCTGTGATGAAGACAGACGAGAGGTCTTCTCCAGGAGAGAGCACAGTGAGTATGACTGTTACTGACCTGTTACTAACTGTCCATTAACTGTTTCCTTACGGGGAACATGGAGCTGGGTCACATGGACAAACATCCCTGTCACCATAAATGTTAACGATACGTTTATATTACCCTTAAAACTACTACTACTACTTTGAATGTTGTAGCTGTCAATTGTCCCATCAATAATCACCCATATTAATGAACATGTCATTTCAGACGTCCCGTGTCTCTAGTAAGACCCTATAGGGGATGTATCATAATGAACCATATCAGCTAAATGTCCATGATAAGTGGTGGCTTTACATTTACATTTTACATTTTAGTCATTTAGCAGACGCTCTTATCCAGAGCGACTTACAGGAGCAATTAGGGTTAAGTGCCTTGCTCAAGGGCACATTTACGTCATTTAGCAGACGCTCTAGTCCAGAGCGACTCACAAATTGATGCATTCACCCTATAGCCAGTGGGATAACCACTTTACAAATTTTTTTTTGGGGGGGGGGGGGGTAGAAGGATTACTTTATCCTATCCCAGGTATTCCTTAAAGAGGTGGGGTTTCAAATGCTTGGTCGGTGTTGATCCTTTTGGGTTTATCCTCCCAGCTCTAGGGTAACATATGTTCATGGTTGGATCAGGGTAAAGCAGGACAAAGAAGCACATTTGAAGAGCTGATTCTGTCTTCTCATTCTGTCTGCTCATTCCATGTTCTCATTCTGTCTTCTCATTCTGTCTGCTCATTCCATGTTCTCATTCTGTCTTCTCATTCTGTCTACTCATTCCATGTTTGCATTCTGTCTTCTCATTCTGTCTTCTCATTCCATGTTCTCATTCTGTCTTCTCATTCCATGTTCTCATTCTGTCTTCTCATTCCATGTTCTCATTCTGTCTATTCATTCTTCTCATTCGATGTTCTCATTCCATGTTCTCATTCTGTCTTCTCATTCCATGTTCTCATTCTGTCTTCTCATTCCATGTTCGCATTCTGTCTTCTCATTCCATGTTCTCATTATGTCTTCTCATTATGTCTTCTCATTGTGTCTTCTCATTCCGTGTTCTCATTCCGTGTTCTCATTCCGTGTTCTCATTCCGTGTTCTCATTCCGTGTTCTCATTCTGTCTTCTCATTCTGTCTTCTCATTCTGTCTACTCATTCCGTCTTCTCATTCTGTCTTCTCATTTTGTCTTTTTATTCTGTCTTCTCATTGGGTGTTCTGTGTTGTGACGGTTGTGTCCTGGTCAGAGTTGCTGTGCTAAGAGACGAGTGATGTGTGCAGAGAAGGAAGAGGAGGAGGAGAGATGGAGGGACAGCTGGGATGAGAGCAGGATGGACATAATATGGGTAGAGTGGAGAGGAGAGAAAGAAAAGACAGTCTAGTCATATATATATAGGGAGAGAGGGAGAGGGAGAGAGGGAGAGGGAGAGAGGGAGAGGGAGAGAGAGAGAGCGAGAGAGAGAGAGAGAGAGAGACTACACAGAGCATTACCTTTGACTAGGGCTCTGCCTAGATACCTACCTAAAGTGCATTCGGAAAGTATTCAGACCCCTTTACTTTATCCACATTTTGTTACGTTACACCCTTATTCTAAAATGGATTTAAATTTCAATTTAACATATGTTTTCAGACCCTTTGCTATGAGCCTCGAAATTGCATCCTGTTTCCATTGATCATCCTTTAGATGTTTGTACAACTTGATTGGAGTCCACCTGTGGTAAATTCAATTGATTGGACATGATTTGGAAAGGCACACATCTGTCTATATAAGGTCCCACAGTTGACAGTGCATATCAGAGCAAAACCCAAGCCATGAGGTCGAAGGAATTGTCCGTAGAGCTCCGAGACAGGATTGTGTCGAAGCACAGATCTGGGGAAGGGTACCAAAACATTTCTGCAGCATTGAAGGTCCCCAAGAACACAGTGGCCTCCATCATTCTTAAATGGAAGAAGTTTGGAACCACCAAGACTCTTCCTAGAGCTGGCCGCCCGGCCAAACTGAGCAATCGGGGGAGAAGGGCCTTGGTCAGGGAGTTGACCAAGAACCCGATGGTCACTCTGACAGAGCTCCAGAGTTCCTCTGTGGAGATGGGAGAACCTTCCAGAAGGACAAACATCTCTGCAGCACTCCACCAATCAGGTCTTTACGGTAGAGTGGTCAGACAGAAGCCACTCCTCAGTAAAAGGCACATGACAGCCCGCTTAGTGTTTGCCAAAAGGCACCTAAAGGACTCTCAGACCATGAGAAACAAGATTCTCTGGGTCTGATGAAACCAAGATTGAACTCTTTGGCCTGAATGCCAAGCGTCACGTCTGGAGGAAGCCTGGCACCATCCCTACGGTGAAGCATGGTGGTGGCAGCATCATGCTGTGGGGATGTTTTTCAGTGGCAGGGACTGGGAGACTGGTCAGGATCGAGGGGAAAGATGAACGGAGCAAAGTACAGAGAGATCCTTGATGAAAACCTGCTCCAGAGCGCTCAGGACCTCAGACTGGGGCGAAGGTTCACCTTCCAACAAGACAACGACCCTGAACACACAGCCAAGTGGCTTCGGGACGAGTCTCTGAATGTCCTTGGGGTGGGCCCAGCCAGAGCAGAACTGACTTATTTAAAAAACCGTTTTTGCTTGTCGTATGGGTTTGTGTGTAGATTGATGAGGGAAAAAAAAACATTTAATCATTTCAGAATAAAGCTGTAACTACGAATGTGGAAAAGTCAAGGGTTGAATACTTTCGAAGGCGCTAAACCTCGGGGACTGCAACCTATTCCCTACATAGTGCACTTTTTAAATAGGGCCCTACCCAGATACCTACCCCTCTCTACAAAGGGGTGTCCAACTCATTCCAACCAGGTGAGGGGAGGTCCTAACTAATCACTATGTGCAGATGAAGACAACCAGGTGAGGGAGGTCCTAAACTAATCACTATGTGTCAGATGAAGACAACCAGGGTGAGGGGGGAGGTCCTAACTAATCACTATGTGTCAGATGAAGACCAACAACCAGGGGTTTAGGGGGGGGTCCTAACTAATCACTATGTGTCAGATGAAGACAACCCGGTGAGGGGGAGGTCCTAACTAATCACTATGTGTCGATGAAGACAAAACCCCGGTGAGGGGAGGTCCTAACTAAACACTAGTGTCAGATGGAAGACAACCAGGTGAGGGAGGTCCTAAATAATCACTATGTGCAATAAGACAACAGTGAGGGGAGTCCTAACTCTCCTATGGTCATGAAGACAACCAGGTGAGGGGAGGTCCAACTAAACACTATGTGTCAGATGAAGACAACACCAGGTGAGGGGAGTCCTAACTAATCACTATTTGTCATGAAAACAACCCATGAGGGGAGGTCCTAACTATCACTATGGTCAGTAAGACAAACCCGGTGAGGGGGTCCCCAACTTCACTATGTGTCAAAGAAAGAAACCAGTTGGGGGGGTCCTACCAATCACTATGTTGTCGATGAAACCACCAGGTGAGGGGAGGTCCTAACTAATCCTATGTTTCAGATGAAGACACCCCGGGAGGGGGGAGGTCCTAACTACTCACTATGTGTCAGATGAAGACAACCAGGTGAGGGGGGAGGTCCTAACTTAATCACTAATGTTCCAGATGAAGACAACCAGGTGAGGGGGAGGTCCTAACTAATCACTATGGTGTCAGATGAAAGACAACCAGGTGAGGGGGGAGGTCCTAACTAATCACCTATGTGTCAGAGGAAGACAACCAGGTGAGGGGAAGGTCCTAACTAATCACTATGTGTCGATGGAAGACACCAGGTGAGGGGGGAGTTCCTAACTAATCACATGTTCAGATGAAAGAACAACAGGTGAGGGGAGGGTCCTAACTAACACTATTGTCAGATGAAGACAACCAGGTGAGGGGAGGTCCTAACTAATCAAGTACAAGGGAGGAGTGAACCTGCAGACGCGTATGAGTTTGACCCCTGTGCTCCGTGTTGCTATGACAACTAAACAGGAGGAAGGGTCCGGGGAGCGGAGTGGGACAGGGTTCGACCAGAGCCCGATGTGGAGAGTGATCTGTCCGGCAGCGTTGCGGTGTGTGTGCTCTGTTCTCAGAGACCAACACAACTGACACACTAGAAAGTAGTCCACTATGTAGGGTATAGGGTGCCCTTTTGGGACGCAGCCTATAATCACTCATCTCTGACCTCTGACCCCATCAGGTAAGTGTTGCCGTGGGGAAGAAGACCCTGTTCCTGTTTAACCTCAACGACCCTGACAACCCCATAGAGCTGGCCTTCCAACAGCGCTACGGACACATCATCTCCTATCGCTGGTACTCTCACACACTCACACACTCTCACACATTCACTCATTCACTCACTCACACTCACACACTCACTCACATGACAGATTTCTTTGGCTATTTCTGTTTGTAACTTCTCTCCCCCCTCTCCTCTCCCTCCTCTCCTCTCCCCCCCCTCCCCTTCCTCCTCCCCCCCCTCTCTCCTCTCCCCCTCCCTCCCCCCTCCCAGGTACGGTGATGGCTACATCTTGATTGGTTTCTCTCAGGGTTATTTTGTGGTGATCTCTACTCACATCAGAGAGATCGGTCAGGAACTGTTCCAGGCTCACAACCATAAAGACAGCCTGACCAGTGTAGCTATCTCCCCTGCTCAACAAACCACTCCTGACCTAACACACCACAACCCCTCAACAACCAACCACATCACACACACAACCCACTAACCACACACCACACACCACCAACACCTCCCACACCCTCACACACCACCACACCACAAACACACCACACACCCACTCACCACACCCAACCTCCACCACCACACACACACTCCCACCTCCCCCCACTCCACACACCACACACCACACTCACACACCACTCCCACACTCACACACTCACACCACACACACACACAACTCACCACACTCCACACTCACACTCACACCCACACCACCCACCACACACCACTCACACCACCACACACACCCCACCTCACCACCCACTCACACACCACATCACCACGCACACTCACCACCCCACACACCACACTCACCCACACACCTCACACCCCCCCCTCCCACACACTCACACACCACCCACACCTCCACACACACTCACACTCACCACAACACCACCCTCCACCACACACACCACACTCTCACCACACACACCTGCAGAGATTCCTACATAATAGTGTGTGTGTTGCAGTATAAAGATCCATGATCTGTCTGAACTGAAGGAGATGGACGCCATCGTTAACCTGGATGATGAGACTAAAGGTTATACACCATACACACACACACACACACCAACACCAACACACACACACACACACATACAACACACACACACCATACACCACACACACACACACACACATAACACCACACACACACACACACACACACACCACCCACACCATACACACACACACCAACCACACATCAATAAACCACACACACACACACATACCACACACCACACACACCCATACACCACACACCATACACCATACACACACACCACACACACAACACACAACACACACACACACACACACACAACACACACATACAACACCCACACACACACACACACCATACACAACACACACACACACACACACCACACACCACACACACACACCATACAACACCCACACACACACACCATACACAACACACACATACACCACACACACATACACCATACACACACACCACACACACACATACACACACACACACCACACACACACACAAATACACCATCCACACACACACACAGTTGGAATACAGTCAGGTTCTGTGTCCCAAATGGGCCCTATTCCCTTTGTAGGGCACTACTTTGTTCCAGGGACCACAGGGCTGTAGGGCTTTACAGAGGCAGTAGGGGGATACAGGGACCACAGGGCTGTAGGGCTTTACAGAGGCAGTAGGGGGATACAGGGACCACAGGGCTGTAGGGCTTTATAGAGGCAGTAGGGAGCTACAGGGACCACAGGGCTGTAGGGCTTTACAGAGGCAGTAGGGAGCTACAGGGACCACAGGGCTGTAGGGCTTTACAGAGGCAGTAGGGAGCTACAGGGACCACAGTGCTGTAGGGCTTTATAGAGGCAGTTGGGGGGCTACAGGGACCACAGGGCTGTAGGGCTTTACAGAGGCAGTAGGGGGCTACAGGGACCACAGGGCTGTAGGGCTTTACAGAGGCAGTAGGGAGCTACAGGGACCACAGGGCTGTAGGGCTTTACAGAGGCAGTAGGGGGCTACAGGGACCACAGGGCTGTAGGGCTTTACAGAGGCAGTAGGGGAATACAGGGACCACAGGGCTGTAGGGCTTTACAGAGGCAGTAGGGGGCTACAGGGACCACAGTGCTGTATGGCTTTACAGAGGCAGTAGGGGGATACAGGGACCACAGGGCTGTAGGGCTTTACAGAGGCAGTAGGGGAATACAGGGACCAATCAATCAATCAATTGTATTTTATATAGCCCTTCTTACATCAGCTAATATCTCGAAGTGCTGTACAGAAACCCAGCCTAAAACCCCAAACAGCTAGTAATGCAGGTGTAGAAGCACGGTGGCTAGGAAAAACTCCCTAGAAAGGCCAAAACCTAGGAAGAAACCTAGAGAGGAACCAGGCTATGAGGGGTGGCCAGTCCTCTTCTGGCTGTGCCGGGTGGAGATTATAACAGAACCATGCCAAGATGTTCAAAAATGTTCATAAGTGACAAGCATGGTCAAATAATAATCAGGAATAAATCTCAGTTGGCTTTTCATAGCCGATCATTAAGAGTTTAAAACAGCAGGTCTGGGACAGGTAGGGGTTCCATAACCGCAGGCAGAACAGTTTAAACTGGAATAGCAGCAAGGCCAGGCGGACTGGGGACAGCAAGGAGTCACCACGGCCGGTAGTCCCGACGTATGGTCCTAGGGCTCAGGTCTCTCAGTTGGCTTTTCATAGCCGATCATTAAGAGTTGAAAACAGCAGGTCTGGGACAGGTAGGGGTTTCGTAGCCGCAGGCAGAACAGTTGAAACTGGAATAGCAGCAAGGCCAGGCGGACTGGGGACAGCAAGGTGTCATCATGCCCGGTAGTCCTGACGTATGGTCCTAGGGCTCAGGTTCTCAGAGAGAAAGAGAGAACGAGAGAATTAGAGAGAGCATACTTAAATTCACACAGGACACTGGATAAGACAGGAGAAGTACTCCAGGTATAACCAACTAACCCCAGCCCCCCGACACATAAACTACTGCAGCATAAATACTGGAGGCTGAGACAGGAGCGGTCCGGAGACACTGTGACCCCATCCGAAGAAACCCCCGGACAGGGCCAAACAGGAAGGATATAACCCCACCCACTCCGCCAAAGCACAGCCCCCGCACCACTAGAGGGATATCCCCAACCACCAACTTACAATCCTGAGACAAGGCCGAGTATAGCCCACAGAGGTCTCCACCACAGCACAAACCAAGAGGGGGGCGCCAACCCAGACAGGAAGATCACGTCAGTAACTCAACCCACTCAAGTGACGCACCCCTCCCAGGGACGGCATGAAAGAGCACCTTTACAGAGGCAGTAGGGGGCTACAGGGACCACAGGGCTGTAGGGCTTTACAGAGGCAGTAGGGGGCTACAGGGACCACAGGGCTGTAGGGCTTTACAGAGGCAGTAGGGGGCTACATGGACCACAGGGCTGTAGGGCTTTACAGAGGGAGTAGGGGGATACAGGGACCACAGGGCTGTAGGGCTTTACAGAGGCAGTAGGGGGCTACAGGGACCACAGGGCTGTAGGGCTTTACAGAGGCAGTAGGGGGCTACAGGGACCACAGGGCTGTAGGGCTTTACAGAGGGAGTAGGGGGCTACAGGGACCACAGGGCTGTAGGGCTTTACAGAGGCAGTAGGGGGGCTACAGGGACCACAGGGCTGTAGGGCTTTACAGAGGGAGTAGGGGGCTACAGGGACCACAGGGCTGTAGGGCTTTACAGAGGCAGTAGGGGGCTACAGGGACCACAGTGCTGTAGGGCTTTACAGAGGGAGTAGGGAGCTACAGGGACCACAGGGCTGTAGGGCTTTACAGAGGCAGTAGTGGAATACAGGGACCACAGTGCTGTAGGGCTTTACAGAGGCAGTAGGGGGGCTACAGGGACCACAGTGCTGTAGGGCTTTACAGAGGCAGTAGGGGGGCTACAGGGACCACAGGGCTGTAGGGCTTTACAGAGGCAGTAGGGGGATACAGGGACCACAGGGCTGTAGGGCTTTACAGAGGCAGTAGGGGGGCTACAGGGACCACAGGGCTGTAGGGCTTTACAGAGGCAGTAGGGGGGTACAGGGACCACAGGGCTGTAGGGCTTTACAGAGGCAGTAGGGGGCTACAGGGGCCACAGGGCTGTAGGGCTTTACAGAGGCAGTAGGGGGGGTACAGGGACCACAGGGCTGTAGGGCTTTACAGAGGGAGTAGGGGGCTATAGGGACCACAGGGCTGTAGGGCTTTACAGAGGCAGTAGGGGGATACAGGGACCACAGGGCTGCTTTACAGAGGCAGTAGGGGGGCTACAGGGACCACAGTGCTGTAGGGCTTTACAGAGGCAGTAGGGGGATACAGGGACCACAGGGCTGTAGGGCTTTACAGAGGCAGTAGGGGGCTACAGGGACCACAGGGCTGTAGGTTTTTACAGAGGCAGTAGGGGGCTACAGGGACCACAGGGCTGCTTTACAGAGGCAGTAGGGGGGCTACAGGGACCACAGTGCTGTAGGGCTTTACAGAGGCAGTAGGGGGGCTACAGGGACCACAGGGCTGTAGGGCTTTACAGAGGCAGTAGGGGGCTACAGGGACCACAGTGCTGTAGGGCTTTACAGAGGCAGTAGGGGGGCTACAGGGACCACAGGGCTGTAGGGCTTTACAGAGGCAGTAGGGGGATACAGGGACCACAGGGCTGTAGGGCTTTACAGAGGCAGTAGGGGGCTACAGGGGCCACAGGGCTGTAGGGCTTTACAGAGGCAGTAGGGGGCTACAGGGACCACAGTGCTGTAGGGCTTTACAGAGGCAGTAGGGGGCTACAGGGACCACAGGGCTGTAGGGCTTTACAGAGGCAGTAGGGGGCTACAGGGACCACAGGGCTGTAGGGCTTTACAGAGGCAGTAGGGAGCTACAGGGACCACAGGGCTGTAGGGCTTTACAGAGGCAGTAGGGGGGCTACAGGGACCACAGGGCTGTAGGGCTTTATAAAGGCAGTAGGGGGCTACAGGGACCACAGGGCTGTAGGGCTTTACAGAGGCAGTAGGGGGATACAGGGACCACAGGGCTGTAGGGCTTTACAGAGGCAGTAGGGGCCTACAGGGACCACAGGGCTGTAGGGCTTTACAGAGGGAGTAGGGGGCTACAGGGACCACAGGGCTGTAGGGCTTTACAGAGGCAGTAGGGGGCTACAGGGACCACAGGGCTGTAGGGCTTTACAGAGGGAGTAGGGGGCTACAGGGACCACAGTGCTGTAGGGCTTTTACAGAGGCAGTAGGGGGGCTACAGGGACCACAGGGCTGTAGGGCTTTATAAAGGCAGTAGGGGGCTACAGGGACCACAGGGCTGTAGGGCTTTACAGAGGCAGTAGGGGGATACAGGGACCACAGGGCTGTAGGGCTTTACAGAGGCAGTAGGGGCTAACAGGGACCACAGGGCTGTAGGGCTTTACAGAGGCAGTAGGGAGCTACAGGGACCACAGGGCTGTAGGGCTTTACAGAGGCAGTAGGGGGGCTACAGGGACCACAGGGCTGTAGGGCTTTACAGAGGCAGTAGGGGATACAGGGACCACAGGGCTGTAGGGCTTTACAGAGGGAGTAGGGGGCTACAGGGACCACAGGGCTGTAGGGCTTTACAGAGGCAGTAGGGGGCTACAGGGACCACAGGGCTGTAGGGCTTTACAGAGGCAGTAGGGGCCTACAGGGCTGTAGGGCTTTACAGAGGCAGTAGGGGGCTATTTGAGATGCAGGAACTGAACTGTTTCTGTTTCTGTGTGTTAGTGGAACAGATTTAAAGTCATACAATGCAGTTAACTTCAACTTTGGTGTGTGTCTGTGCCTCTGTGTGTGTGTGTGTGTGTGTGTGTGTGTGTGTGTGTGTGTGTGTGTTTGCCTGTGTGTGTGTGTTTGCCTGTGTGTGTGTGTGTGTGTGTCCCCCCCTCCAGGTCTGGACCAGTTGAGCTGGACTGATGATGGTCAGTTGTTGGCCGTCTCCACCCAGAGAGGAACCCTGCATGTCTTCCTGACCCGTCTCCCCATTCTGGGGCACAGCTGCGGGACCCGCCTGGCCTACCTGACCTCCCTGCTGGAGGTCACTGTGTCTAACCGTGTAGAGGGGGTGAGAACACACAGACAGCTGTGGGACCCTGCCTGGCCTACCTGACCTCCCTGCTGGAGGTCACCGTGTCTAACCGTGTAGAGGGGGTGAGAACACACAGACAGCTGTGGGACCCTGCCTGGCCTACCTGACCTCCCTGCTGGAGGTCACCGTGGCTCAGGGTTTCCGTTAGGAAAACGTGGCACCGGGCGGCAGGTAGCTTAGCGGTTAAGAGTGTTGGGCCAGTAACCGGAAGGTCGCTGGTTTGAATCCGCAAGCCGTCTAGGTGAAAAATCGGTCAGTGTGCCCTCGAGCAATGCACTTAACCCTAATTTCTCCTGTAAGTCACTATGGATATGAGCGTCTGCTAAATGACTCCAATGCAGCGTTTTTAAATTTACCGGACATTTGAGAAATGTACCGGACCCGTTTTCATTGGGTGCATAACCCATCAGGGCGTCCACACACGGTGCTCAGAATCCCATTTAGATTCTGGTCATACATTTTAACAGAACATGCAACTCATGTAATGAAGCTGTTAATAAAACGTTATTTTTTTTTTTTACATTTGCCAAAATGCAATTCGTAGGAAAACACCATTCTAAACAGCGTACCTTGGAAAACACCATTCTGAACAGCGCACCTTGGAAAACACCATTCTGAACAGCGCACCTTGGAAAACACCATTCTAAACAGCGCACCTTGGAAAACACCATTCTGAACAGCGCACCTTGGAAAACACCATTCTGAACAGCGCACCTTGGAAAACACCATTCTGAACAGCGCTCCTTGGAAAACACCATTCTGAACAGCGCTCCTTGGAAAACACCATTCTGAACAGCGCTCCTTGGAAAACACCATTCTGAACAGCGCACCTTGGAAAAACACCTTCACGCACCTTCGCACATATCTCAGCGAGGGAAAAACCCTCTAAACACTAGCACCTTGGAAACACATTCTAACCCATATGAGAAAATCACCATTCTATAGGCACTTGTAGAAAAAACACCATGTTGAACAGCTCGCGACCGTCTGGAACAGACCATTCAACAACCAGCCCCCCCACCCCCACACACCAATGGAAACACCATATTCTTAAACATTAACATAAACGCAAAAGCGAGTACCTAAACAATTACGGTGAAACAGCGCACCTGGGACATGTGAACAGCGATGGAAAACATCTGTTAGAACAGGGGGAGAAAAGATTCAACGATGGGCATTGGAAAACAGTCGATTCTGACAGGCACTTTAGGAAAGCCCAAAAACCATGAACAGAGCAACCTGGAATAAACCAGTTCGAACAACGGATTGAGCGCCTTCAGACTACTGCTCGCGAATTCATGATACACGTAAAGCAATTCAAAACACCTACTGTCAATATATTCCAAGTATTGAAAGACCATCCATCAGTTGTCAGAGAAAAGCCTGTCCAGCGACTTTGGGAAGTATGGAAGCAGATTCAAATTACACCAGAACCCCACCCCCACCAACCAATTGGAAAAATTCTAACATTAACATAATCGCAACAATGCGATGTTCCATAATGCAATTAGCGGGATAACATGCAAGGGCCGGGACAGACCAGAAGGAAAATATGTTAGAAAAGGGGGGGATTAAAATGCCACTGGAAATGAAGAAATTTTTTTTTTTTTTGGCATATAAATGTGTTTATAAAAAATTCCCTCAACATTTAGGTCGGTTCTGGCTAGGCTACTTTGAAACAAGGTAAGACATGCTCCAATTAAAACCCCAAAAAAACAATCCAGGTTTGAAACATTTAATACATTTATATTAAGACGCTCTTATCCAGAGCGACATACAGTTAGTGAATACATTATTTTATTTTTTAATACTGGCCCCCCGTGGGAAATCGAAACCACAACCACTGGCGTGAAAACGCCATGCTCTACCAAAACTGAGTACATTCCCTGCCGGGCCATTCCTCACCTACCTGGACGACGCGCCGGCCAATTGTTGCGCCGCAAATTGAGTCTCCCGGTCGACGCCGGCTGCGGACAGAGCCTGGATTCGAAACAGGATCTCTAGTTGGCAACAGTTAGCACTGCGATTGCAGTGCCTTAGACACTTCTTGCACCAATTGGCCCCAGCGTCGGCCAGGGTAGGGGAGGAATGGCCGGCATGGCAGGGATGTAGCTCAGTTGATGGCATGGCGTTTGCAATGCCAGGGTTGGGGTTTGATTCCACGGGGGCCAGTATAAAATAAAAAAATATATAAAAATGTATTCACTAACTGTAAGGTCGCTCTGGAAGAGAGTTAGGCTAAATGACTTAAATGAAATGTTATGGACTGTCCAGGGTCATATTGAGGGTGGATGATGTGGTAGAGTGCAGGTTGGATGAAATATATGTGGCTCAGGTCAGATTGCAGGGTGGATGATATATTGACTGGCTCCAGGTCAGATTGCAGGGTGGATGATATATTGACTGGCTCCAGGTCAGATTGCAGGGTGGATGATATATGAATGGGCTAAAGGTCCGATTGGCAGGGTGGATGATATATTGGACTGGGGCTCACATGTCAGGATTTGCAGGGTGGATGATGTGGTGGAGTGCAGCAGGTAGTGGCCTTTCTCTCCTGTCTGAACCAACAGGAGCTGGAGGATGACAGGATCAAGCCTTTTAGATGGTAAAAATAATGGTATTTTTGTTTATCCCTACCAGACCAAGGCTCTCTCTTCTATCTAGGCTAGTAGGGAAGAGAGCGAGCTCGAGCGAGAGATGATAGAGAGAGAGGCGCTCTATTTTAATATATCTCTGTCTCTCATCTCTATCATCATTCCTTCTCTCTGATCTCTCCGCTCTCTCTGTCTCTGTTCTCTGTCTCTCTGTCTCTGGCAGAGAAGAAGAGAGGGAGAGAGGGGAAGAGAGAGGGAGAGAGGGGGGAAGAGAGAGAGGAGAGAGAGAGGGGAATATATATATGTATATATCTCTCGCATCATATGATCTCTCTCTGTATATACATTATGTCTATATATGTCTCTCTCTCTGTATCTTGTCTAGGTATCTACTATCTCAGTATCTCTAGTTTCTTTCGATGTCTTCTATATGTTCTATCTCTCTTCTCTCTCATCTATCTCTCTCTCTCTCTCTCTATCTATATCTCTCTCTCTGTATATGTCTCTGTCTCCATCCTCTGTTCTCTGATCTATATCTCTCTGCTCTCTATCTCCTATGTTCTCTATATCGATCTCTGTCTCTCTATCTATGTTCTCTATATCTATCTCATCATCTCTAGCTCCTCTCGTCTAGTTTATCTGTCTATTTGTTCTCTCTGTCTCTCTCTCTTAATATCTATCTACTATCTCCTCTTCTCGCTCTCTCTCTTGTCTCTGTCTCTGTCTTCTCTCTGTATCTCTCTCTCGCTCTCTGTCGTCTATCTCTATCTCTCTCTCGATCTCTATGTCTCTGTCTCTGTCTCTACATCTATATCTCTCTGTCTCTCTCTATCTCTCTCTTCTCTCTCCTCTCCTATATCTCTCTTTGTCTCAATATCTCTGTCGCGTTCTCTCTCTCTCTCTCTACTCTGTCGATCTCTCTCTCTCTCTCTGTCATCTCTCTCTCTCTCTATCTTGTCTCTACTCTTCTCTCTATGTCTCTATATATCTCTCTGGCTCGCTCTCTCGCTCATATTCTCTCTATATATTATCTATATATCTCCTCTCTCTCTATCTTCTCTCTCTCTATCTCTGTCTTTTCTCTGCTTTGTCTCCTCTCTCTCTTGTCTCTCTCTCTCTCTCTTCTCTCTCTTGTCTCTCTCTCTCTCTCTCTATGTCTATATGTCTCTCTCTCTCATCTGTCTCTCTCTCGGTTCTCTCGTGTCTCTCTCGCTGTCTCTCTATCTCTCTCTCTCTCTCTCTCTCTCTCTCCTACTCTCCTCTCTCTATCCTAGCAGCAGACTCAGGTAAGGCAAGGTGATGCTGCTGTGACGTGTGAAGTAGGAGAACGACAGGACATCTCCCAGGACATTTGCGTTGGCAGCCACAGTTCAATCATCAGTGTACGGTTTTTTATCGTGCCAAAAGCCGGTGTTACCGAGATAACGGAAACCCCCTGCCGTGGCTGCAAAAACAACAACCGGGTTTGTTAGAAGGGGGTGAGCGAGCGAGCACACACAGGGTCAATGGTCGGGGCGCACAATTGGTCAGCGTCGTCAAGGTAGGGAGGGTTTGGCCGGAAGGGATGTGGCCGTTCCCGGGGGGCCAGTATAAAAAAATAATAAAAAATGTATACATTCACTAACTGTAAGTGGCTCTGGATAAGAGCGTCTGCTAAATGACCTAAATGTAAATGTGTCATGAACTCTGTTGTGTCCTCTGAAAGGAAGCTCCTGTTGCCGTGGCGGTGGAGGTGGAGCCTAACTTCATTGCCGTGGGACCCTACCACGTTGCCGTGGGGATGAACAACCGTGCCTGGTTCTACGCCCTGGGAGACTCCGGTGTGTGTGTGTGTGCTTTCACTCGGAATTTGTGGGGTGTTGATATTTATTTTTTGGGCTGTATTTTTATGTTTTTTGTAAAACTGTGTGTTGTGTGTTGTGTGTGTGTGTGTGTGTGTGCGCGTGCGCGTGGTGTGTGTGTGTGTGTGTAGGTGTGGAGAGGTCTGAAGGAACATTAGAATTGGGGACGATCGACCAGAATGTTGTCGAACTCGGGACTAGCAGCGGCTATGATTGAGGGCAAAGTACCGCTCACATGGTGAGGAGTGGAGGGGGGGGGGCTGCTACACATGGTGAGGAGTTGGAGGGGGGGGGGGGTGATACAATGTGAGGAGTGGAGGGGGGGGGGGGGGTGCTACACATGGTGAGGAGGGAGGGGGGGGCGGGGGGGGGGGGGGGGGTCAGATATTGTGTTGTGGGGGGAGGGGCAGTGGGAGGGTTTCAGATATTGTTGTTGTGGGGGGAGACCAGGGGGGAGGGGTTAGTATTGTGTTGTGCGGAGGAGGGACCAGCGGGAGGTGATCATTTGGAAGGGGCATTCTTTCGGACTCCTACAGTGCATTCGGAAAGTCTTCAGACCCTGACTTTTCCACATTTGGTTAGTTCCAGACTTATTTCTAAATGGATAAATTGTTTTTGTTTGTCCCTCATCAACCCTACAACAATACCCCATAATGACAAGCAATAAAATGA